AGGAAAGTGCTGACTCGATGGATTACTCATGAGTTTTTGAAAGGCATGATTACGAAGATGAGAGTTGGGTCCTCTACGATTCTAACAAGCACAGTGCCGTGTGGCTCCCTCGAGGAGAAGGCCTGCCGACACAAGCAAAATCGGACCTTCACCCCAAAAACTGTCTTCTTTGCTACCTCTGGGATTCGTGAGGAATGCTGTATTATGAGATGCTCCCGCAAAGACATACCGCTACCGGCAGCATTTACGCCAGTCAGCTCCAGAAACTAGCGGACGCTGTTCAAGAAAAACGACCGAGACGAACTTCTGTCCACCTACTCCACGATGACGCCAGGCCCCACATAGCTAAAGAGACCCGTGCAAAATTGGAAGAGCTGATCTGGGACGCGGTTCCCCACCCACCCTATTCCCCTGACATTGCCCTCTTATATCACTTACTTCGGTATTTTAAGGCATTCCTAGCGAAGAAAAAATTCACACCAAAGTTGAAGACGTTGAAACAGAGACGCATTTCTGGAATCAAATGGGAGTGGGGCAATGCAAAGTGAAGGGGTAACGTTTTCGCCATTCGAATGATATTTCCAACACATTGACCTTGCTTTGCAGTTTTGGCTTGATACATTTGCATGAAGAATGGTAGGACAGCGATTCATGTCCTTCATAACTTAAATTCAATTCACAAGGAAAACTTGTTGCAGATTCTTCCTCTGTCTTTGGTGTTTGTTGGAATGATTGCCTTCAATAACCTTTGCCTTAAACACGTTGGCGTATCATTTCTATTATCTGGGACGTTGTCTCACCACTGTGTTCAATGTGGTGAGTCTGATATCCTCAATTCACTGGATATTTCATTACACTTGCGCACTTGACAATTTCCGAAGCTCAATAAACTATTAGGTTTAGGTGTGTACCTATTTGATTTTGGGCCAGAAAACTTCCGCGCGAGCTATAGGCTGTTGTTTCGTTATAGTGGCCGGATTTCTAATGGGTGTCGATCAAGAGGATGCCTCAGGTTTGGATACGAATATGGTTTGAATCACTCAATTCAATGTATTATCGAATGGATTTCATGAGGATTGTGCCCACGAGATGTTTCGGCTTCGTTGTACTTTCATAGTTTTCAGGAACTCTTTCCGTTATTGGGGTTATATATGGTGTTTTGGCATCGCTCTGTGTTGCTCTGAATGCCATCTACACGCAGAGGTTTTTTTTGCACATTTTCCATACATTACAGCGGTTTTGTTTGTTGTCATGCATAAACGTTTACTAATTGTGTTTTCTCTTATTCATTTAATTTTAGTTCTCTTCCTATCGTGGGCGACTCCATTTGGCGATTGACTATGTATAATAATCTCAACGCTTTGGTTCTTTTCCTACCTTTCATGCTTTTCTTGTAAGTCAAGTACTCAAGTAAGAACCGAACTTAAGTATAATGATTCGCAGCGAGCTCGTTAAATTAATGTTTTAATGGTTTCAGAGGAGAATTCGGCGAACTACTGTATTTCCCTCGATTGTTTAGCCCAGTATTTTGGATGTGGATGTCGCTGTCCGGTGTATTTGGTTTTCTCATGGGTTATGTCACCGGTTGGCAGATTCAGGTATGTCATGTTGATGTATGAAACACAAAACGACGATTGGCTAGCGAAGGCAAGCAAAGTTACTAGCAATACATGTTATGTCCAAATATATGGTTATCAGATGATTTACTGTAGTCTTTTAATGCGCTTAATTCTGCGGGTCTCATCAGTAAGGGAGGCATGTGGTGCGACAGTTCATATTGCATGAAGTAATCCACTTTTTCAGGGGAAGGGAAGCTCCGGGGTGGGTGTAAAAGTTTAAGCGAAATGGTTCACGCACCCCGGGGATTCCCTCCCCTTGCAAAAATTGGAATTTCTGTAGCCGGCAAGAACTGTCACACCACACACCCCCCCTCTTTCTGGATGAGACCCAATTCTGCATTCAAAAGGAAAACCGTGAGATGAAAATGCGGCCGATGTTGTATCTCGGCGCGAGCTTCGCGTTTGCACGCAGTGATCTGTTGACTCTGAAAGTACTGCGTCCTTTTACCTTTGAATTTAGTTAGTAGGGATATTTCACAGCTTTGGCCTGGACTTTCTAAATCAGCTATACTAAGATTTTTTCGTTACTTCTCATTGTAGGTTTCCCTTATCAAGTGGCATAAGTTCCAAAAATAAGTTATGTAAATATTTTTATGTCACCCTTACTCCGTCATCAACTGCGTATCAAGAATATCCAAGAATTCACGAAATTTTAGGCCACTTCTGCCCTAACTCACAACATATCGGGTACAGCCAAGGCTGCTGCTCAAACTGTGATGGCAGTAGTGTACTTCTCAGAAATTAAGACGTTCATGTGGTTTGTTTGTGCTCATTTTCTTTTACACTCTTTCCTTTTTTTACTTCGGTTTTCGAGCGTAGGTTACGCATTATAAGCGACTCTACTTGTTCATAATGACAAGGTAGAATAGTAGCTATAGCCGAAATTGATATACGGTAGAGGTCAAAAGTATTAGTGAAAAAAGTTTTCGTGTCTTATTGGACCTCTTTCTTTTCCTTTTCCCTTTCCTCGGAACGCTTTTCTTACGAAACGCGCATTGTTTTCAAATACACATGCTGCAGATAGCTCGCAACATTAAAAGAGGTAACATATCAGATTTGAGCAACCTGATTGAAACTGCAGTAATAC